GTTTTTTGGTTTATGATATTATTAATCAACTTGAAAGCTTTCAAATATCACTACAATGAAAGAGAAGATTCCCTTTAGACAATTTTACGCTATTATTGATTAGAACAGATTCTTTCTCAGTCTAGTAATTCATCATCTCCGTATATTGTCACTAGATATGACAATAGCTTCACTCAATTTTATAATGAATAGAACAAAAACGACTGTAAGCACTTTTAATTACTTGCTTTCGCTTTTGTTATTCAATTATGCAAATTTCCATTTGCTGAACTCGCGGCGATCACGCACAGGCTGCCGCTTTATCAATTGCGTGACGTTTGATCTCTACTCGACATCTTTTTACTTACGTCATAATTCGTTACAAGTACATCATCAATAGGTCAATATATTTGTAAATTCATTTGTTACTTTAGTATTTTTTTTAATTAGACAGTGAAGTAACTTAAATGACGTTCCACTTAGATTGACACTTTAGCACGTAATGTTATGACGAGTTTTCTACCTAATTGACGTAGACGCCCTCAATTGTTCTTAGGTAAAATTAAACATTGCAATGATTTAATAACTCAGTTCAGTAGGATCTTGAACCCTTTTTTGGTTTAAAAACAATCCATAAACCCAACGTTTATCTATAAAATTGCTATGTTAGGTAGTCTAACTATAGAAATATAAGTTGTGTAGTTAAACCACAATACATTTCTTGTGGTTTCAATGTGGTGACGATTATTTAGAACCTGGCTCACGAAGGCTGGGTTATATGAAAAACACTCAAGCTGCGGTTTGTCACCATTCTGCGAAGCCTTACCTACTGCAAATTATTATAATCCTACATACTATTACTGTCTTACAATAGTTACTTCCATTCAACCATATACTAAACATTAATAATAACATTTTGCACATTTTTGGAATTGCCATACAGATATTAAATTTTGCAATCCATTGAAACGTACGCGAATAAACTTAGTCAATTCATTATTTTCATGAGTTACTTATTTTCTTAATTACATACTGTAAGTACATGGCACTTAGATAAGGCAAGGTAGTAATCAAGTCGTCGACGACATTAAAACGGTATCCCATAGCGTACCGCTTGGAAATTACTAGCGTGCAACGCATCGCGGCACTGTTATGGTAACATTAACTACATAATATACGAACTTGAAATACAACGTTGTTATATAAACTTTACTCAAATCAAGTTGGTAATTTCGAACAAAGTTCAAGCTTAAACAAGTAACCATTTACTTCAAAAACAAAATTATAGCTTATTTTGATCCATTATATTATTTTATCTATCTATACTAATATCATAAAGAGGAAAACTTTGTTTGTTTGATTGTAATAAATAGGCTCAAAGGTAAGGTTAGAAAGGTAATTTATCTGTGAGTAAAAAAGGCTATATTTTTTTATTTCTATATTATTTTTTCTATATTTCACGCGGACGGAGTCGCAACCAAAAGCTAGTCAAACATATACCTACGAAATTTTTTCCGTTATTTACGTATCGCGAGAATATATTTTTTATGACACAATAATGGGGGACTAGAGGTTTTAAAACACGCTAGCTTTATACGTACATAATCCGGTCTCTTGATACACAAAGAGATTTACAACATCACGCCCAACATTGTACAGCCTTGTAGTGTGTCATGTATATCCCAAGTCACATACAGTAGTATTAACTAGAATACCGGATGCGTTTTGAGTACACAAAGACTTGAATTAACATTTTGTAAATACTAACAGGAATAACTCTATCTAAATAATGTAGAATTGTGATTTAACAGTAATAACAATCACTGTCTACTCTTTTTCTGTAATTATTGAAAGTATATATCTTTTACATGAATCTGTTAAAACAAGTAGATGAAGCAATGTAACCATACAATAAAGGTCGCCAAACAATACACCATCAGACTGACTGACAAGCCTTAACAGATTATGTCGTGGGTCGTGATTGAACGCGATGACCAAACATTACTCAAGAGACCATTATGAGATGTTATGTAAATGTTATAAAGCTCTCCAATTCATTGCTAAAACTGTTCATATTTTGATATATCGTCTTCTTATCACGACAGCCAAGTAATTCGATTAAGCATCGATATGATATTAGGTTAAAAAAATGTTTTAAATATGTATTTTGA